TTTAAGGGATTTTATTTTAGTTTTTAGTTATGTATATATATTTCATTTGCTTTTTTTTTGTTGGCTTTGTTTATATTATAAATATATTATACATGTAGAAAAAAATTATATAAAAAAGTATAAAAAATTGTTTATATATTTTATGTATATATAAAAAAAACAATAATTATAATGAATTTTACTACCCGGTTAAAGTTTTATTATTTATTTTTTTTTTTTTGCTTTTTTGTAAAGTTTTATTTTTTATATATATAATAATTTTTAAAAAATGATTATTTTGTTTTTATATATATATATAGTGTGTTAAAATTTGTTTTTTAAGTTTTGAGAGATTTTATTTTTTTAAAAAAATATATATATATTTTTTTGTTTTTGTAATTATAAAAAAAGACCTTTTTGGTATAAATGTTTTAAACGATATGTATTACAAAAATACTGTAAACAAAAAAAGGTCTTTTTAATTTTTTTTTTATTTTTTACTAATACTTGTTTTTGGGTTTTTAAACACACTATAGTTTAAGTTTTTTTTTTTTTTTGCAAGTTATTATTTTAAGATATTGACTAAATTTTTATATTTTATTTAATAAAAATTCTAGAAAAATTTTACTAATCTTTTATAAGTTTTTTTTTATTAATAATTATGATTTTTTTTTTTTTTGTTTAAAATATAATTTTTTTTTATAAATTTATTGCCAATTTTTGTGTTTGAAGCAATTTGTTTGTTTAACTTAAAAAAAAACATTTTACTATTATTATATATTTTTTATTTGTTTGTTTATATAAAGAAGTCTAAAAAGTTTCAAAAATGTCTTTGCTAATATTTTCTTTTTTTATTATTATTAATTTCATGATAAGTTTAATATTTTTTTATTTACATATTTTTTTTTCATTTTTGTGATTTTTATTAAATATAAAAAAATTAATTTAAAAAACTGTTAAATTTACTAAATTAGTTTTTTTTTTTAATTTTTATATTTTATATTTGAATTTTTTAGCTACTTTTTTTATATAATTATTATTTAATTATTTTTTTATTATTTCAGTTTAAGTTGGAAAAAGTTTTATTTTTTTCTTAAAGTTTTTTTTTATAATAATGTTTTTATTTTTTATTAAAGTTGAAGCTTTAAATATTTTTGCTTTTAATTTTTGTTATAATTAGTTAATATTGCACATATTTTTTTTTTTGTTTTAAAATTTTCTTTTATTTTTTATTGTATCATAAAAGTGTTTACAAAAAAATTTTATAAAAAAATTTTAAAAGCTAAATTACAATTTTTTTTCATTTATTATTAATAAAAATTAAATAAAAAACAGTTTTAACAAGAAATTAATATTTTAACAAAAAACCAGGAGAGAGGGTTAAAGAAAAACAAAATAAACTAATACTGAACACAAAGTAGTTTTTAAAACAATTATTTCAAATAAAAAAAACAAATGCATTAAACAAAATCTTTTAGTTTTAAAACAAAGACAACAAACTTAAAATATTTAACAAAATTAAAAAAAAAAACAAACAAAATTATTATAAAATTAATAAATTATTGCACATTTAAGTTTGTTATTAGGGGGCAAAAAAATTTTTTTTTTCTAAACAAAAATACTTTTTGAAAAATATTCTAAAATAATAAAACTTGTATAGATTCAATATATTAAATATAAGGTCCATTATAAAAGTTATATAAAGCCTTTTTAAAATATACTGTTGCCAGACAACAGATAATATTTCTTTCCAATTGAATTCAAAACTAATCTGTTATTAATTTAAAAATATAGAAGATTCGAATATAATACTTTATAGTACATATTTGAGAAACTAGCTACAGACTAGCTGCCATAACCAGAAGTTTAGAAATATATTGAAATACTTATAATGGACCATTGCTATTGATAAGCATGCAAAGAAATCTATTAAATTGCCAACACATAAACAAAATTAAATTATTATATAAATTAAAAATTTAACACAATTTTTATATTTTATATAAAATATTTTTTTTTTCGAATTAGGAACATTTCTAAACAAAACTAAATAAAATAGTGCAAGGTATCTTAAATATTTGGTAAGAAAATTTAAATATTTTATATGACTATTAGGATAAAAAAAGGTATATTCTTTAAAAAAGGCTAAAGACAGTTTTTAGTGTTCGAATATGAATATTAGTTATTTTTCAGCAAAAATTCAAATTTTTTTACAGTTTTTTTAAGTTTTCGAAAATTCGAACATAATTTCGAAAATTCGACATAACTTCGAACATTGAATTTTTATTCGAAAATAATTTTTTTTGTTTGTAAGTCTCGAAAATACTTTATTCGTTTGTAATTTCTGAAATTAACCAGTTAGAAGTTTTTGTAAGATTTTCGAAAATTCGAACATAATTTCGAACATAGAATTTCTTTTAAAAAATACTTTGTTTCATTTGTAAATTCCGAAAATAATTTATTAGTGTGTAATTTCCGAAAATACCCAGATTTAGTACTTTTTTTCAAGATTTTCGAAAATTCGAACATCGAAATACTTTATTAGTTTTCAATTTCCGAAAACAACCAGATTTAGTACTTTCTTCAAGATTTTCGAAAATTCGAATATTATTTCGAACATTAAATTTTTATATGAAAATTCTTTATTTCGCTTGTAAATTTTGAAAATAAAAAAATTTTGACATTTTTCAAGATTTTCGAAAATTTGAACATTGAATTTTTATTTCAAAATACTTTATTTCCTTTGTAAAAATCGAACATAATTTCGAACATTAAATTTTTATATGAAAATTCTTTATTTCGCTAGTAAATTTGTGATAAATAACAAAATTTTGACATATTTCAAAAATTTCGAAAATTTGAATATTAAATTTTTCAATCGAAAATACTTTATTTTCATTATAAATCACGAAAATCCAACAACAAACGCTTTAAAGCTTGTTTTTAACGAATATAAAAATTTTTCTTGATTTTCGAAAATTCGAACATAATTTCGAACATTGAATTTTTATATCAAAATACTTTATTTCGATTGCAAGTTGTGAAAATTAGACAAATTTTTAAGTTTTTCAAGAATTTCGAAAATTCGAACATTGAATTTTTTTTATCGAAATTTTTACTACAAAATAACTTACTTCGTTATAAATAATGAAAATTAAGAATATTTTATAAATTTTTAACAATTTCGAAATTTGAAATTTCGAACATTGAATTTTTAATAGAAAACTTGGTAAAAATAATGAAATTTCTTATAATTTCGAAAATTTTTTGAGAAAAAATTCTAAAATAGGTCTTATTCATTAAATTAACAAATATTACAAATTTTAAACATTTTTGTGCATGTTCGAAAATTCGAACATAATTTCAAACATTTTTACCATACATATTTTAAAAATTTGTAACAATTTCGAATTAGCATATTATTTATATTCGAATTTAAAATTCTTGAGAAAATCTCAAAAAAATCGTTTTTTTCCAATATTCTTGACCATAGATCTATAGTCTTGACTATAGGATCAGTCTATAGTCTTGACTATAGATCAGTCTATAGTCTTGACTATAGATCAGTCTATAGTCTTGACTATAGATCAGTCTATAGTCTTGACTATAGATAGTCTATAGTCTTGACTATAAGATCAGTTCTATAGTCTTGACTAAGATCAGTTCTCATAGTCTTGACTATTGACCTGTCTGTTAGTCTTGACAAGTCTATAGTATTGATATAGATCTGCTATAGTCTTGACTAAGATCAGTCTATAGTCTTGATTATATATTGTCTATCGTCTTGGCAATAGATCTGCCATAATTTTGGCTATATATTTGTATAAGTCTCGAATATAGTCAGAATCTATAGTCTTGACTAAAGATTGTTAATAGTTGACTATAGTCTGTCTCGTCTTAACTCGATCAGTATAGAATTTACTATAGATTAGTCTATAGTCTTGACTATATATCGGTCTATAGTATTGACTATGGACTGCTATAGTCCTTGACTATAGATCGTCTATAGCCTTGACTCTGATCTGTCTATAGTCTTGACTATAGATTGCTATAGCATTGACTATAGATCTGTCTATAGTCTTGACTATCTAGCTTGACTATAGATCTGTCTATAGTTTTGACTATAGTCTATAGTCTTGACTACAGATCAGTTTTAAGTCTTGACTACAGATCATTCAATAGTCTGGTCTTAATTGTTAAAATTTGTCTGTCTACCAGTTTTGTGTTGAAAAACCTGTCATTTTTGTATAGAAATTGTTTTCTAAAGAATATACCTTTAAAGTTATTTGTATAACAAAAAAAATTGCGAGGACTAACAGACAGAAACAAAATAGTACTAAAACTAAATAAAAATAACACAAAGTACAAGAAAAAATACTGCACAGTTAATAAAAAAATTAAAAAAATAGTATAAAAACAGATTCAAAAATGTGTAAAAATAATATAAAAAATTTAAACAATAACAGAAACATGTAAACTAATAAACAATCAATAAAAAAGTAGAAAAATTTCATAAAAAAAGTTAAAAAACACAATAAAAAAAGTAGAAATATTAATAAAAAAAGTAAAAAAGGTTTAAATGTAAAAGAATTAGTTACAAAATTTAAACTATTTTAAGAAAAATTAAAAAGTATTAAAAAACAAACTTAAAAACTAAAACATTTCTTTTAAAGCTGCTTTGAAGAGAATAGTTAAAACATAAAATTTAGGTAATTTTTTAAATAAAACAATATTTTTGATTTATTTATAATTATTAAGAGTTCTATTGCAAGAGATTTGTTTCTATTTAAAAAGAAGAATTTTTTTATTTCTTTAATAAAAAGTAGTAAAATAACTAATTATTGAGTTTTAAAAGCAGGAAAGAGAAGTTTTTTTTTTGTAAAATATTTATATAATTTATAAATATTATTTACTTGATTGACTACCAATAGTTTAAGCTATTTATTGAAATTTTTTCTATTTCAAAAGTTAACTGTTTGTCTAAGTAAATTTTCATTTAAAAAGTTATTAAGTGTAAAAAAGTTCTTGTAGTTCTTTACAAAATCAAAGAACATTAATTAACATGGTTTAGATTTAATATTTAGTGTAAAAAAGTAAAAAAAAGAGTAACTACTAAAAACTACAATTATTGTAAAAAAACAATACAAAAAAATTATAATAAAAAACAAACAACAGGAGTTTTAAACGAACAATAAAGGAGGAGTTTTGTTTAACAGGGGAAAAAGGTAGTAGAGAAAATTTAAAAAAATTGTTATTAAAAAATTGAAAGCTTTATCGTTACGTTTAATAATTTTTTCTTTTCTATTTGTATTGCATGTTTGCCGTTGCAAATTTGTGTTTACGTTGAGGTCTTAACAACCTACCAACGCCGCCGTTAACACCAACGAAAAGGCACTGCACGTGGCCGATCAGCGCCCTCCTTGACTAATGGTTTGTGATATTCACGTCCTTGACGTGAGTGTATTACCGACCAGCAGTGTTCACAATAGTATTGCAAACAAGTGACATTAGCACAAAAGAAGGGAGCAAATTTACTGCCACATCTTTGTCCCTCGCATTCATCGCACATTTGATCATCTAAGACATAGGGTTTCACCTCAACCCGTTTGTCTATGTCACCGTGTTGCAATTGTACAAAACGTGCCGAGATGGCCGCTATATAACTCTGTTGATTGGAGAAAGCCACACGACCAGCACCTTTGGGATATTTTAATTCGGGATCTGTATCAATGCCCGCATAGCAGACACCACCATATAAACGATCCATAATCATGGCCAATTCGAAGGCCTTTAAGGGTCTTGGCACACCACCCACGAAAACAGTTTTACGCGGATCCAAAGACATGGTGGCATCCAGTACATAGTCGGCATCGGCCAAACGCCAGGGACGTATCTGTACCGGCTTGTCTTTAATGGTGGGCGATGAAACACACAAATATAGTTTATCATCGTCCGTAATGCAAGAATCTATCAATTGCTGTACACTGTTTTCATCCTGGAAGAGTAGAAAAGCATAACCTTTGGGTGGAAAATATGATTTTGATTCGGCTTTGTGTGGCCAGTCCACCACCAAAGGACCAAAGCGTCTGAAAGAACTAGTGATTTCATCTTCATCAATATCCGGTGGTAAACCACCCACAAAGACCTTGCGTGAGAAGCGTGCCGTATGATCGGAACCTTGTGAATGCGGTGAAGAACGTGAAGGTGAATTTAGTTTCATATTTGGATCTAAATATGCTGTGGCACCATTACCTGCTGCAATTGCTACAGCATCCACTTCACCCAAATGATGTTCACTCATTTTTTGGTTGCGCATACGTTCTGCCATTATGGCGGCGGCTGTAACATTATTATCACCACCTGGTCCTACAGCACCCATGCCCATGCGCATAATATCGTTTAGGCAATGATCTAAGGGACGCATATCCAAACCGTTGGGCATATAAGGGCCAGCACCCAAAAACGGCGGTGCATCACCACCACCTGTAGCGCCAGCACTTATGCTGCCATTACCAATCGACAGTGTGGGTACGCCTACAGCCTGGGCAGCATTTATGTCCAGGGTATAGCCGGGTGTGGGTGAAGTTCCCCCTTTGGCGGGAAAAGATATACTGCGTCTATATTTGTTCGGTGAAATGCCAGCATTTGAATTAGGTGAAACACCACCGCTACTACCACCAGCTTGTGAACCATTATAAGGCGAATTGCCACCACCACCAGCTGCACCAGCATGCGGTGGTATGGGCGATGAGGGACTATGGGCCCCGGCACCACCTTCTAGTTGTTGTTGTGGTGGACAGGGATGATTTGGCGATAGCTGCTGTTTGTTGCCAGTTAATCCGCTACAGAGATTAAGAGTAGAGATGAAGTTTTTTTGTTTTAATATAATTTATGTCTTTTTTTTATAATTTAAATTAGAATTTGCTTTTCAACAATATAGGGAAATCGGGTTTAAACCGATTTTAAATTAAAAATAAAAAGAATTAGCATTGAATGATAGAGGTTTTATTTTAAATTAAAGGTGGTAAATAAAATGTTTTTTTTTTTTTAAGCAGGAGATAAAAACAAGGTCAATAGCCGATCTTTCTATTATATTCAGATTGTTTGATCAAAGCCACTATTGATAATTTTACTATAGTACTGTGTTTTCCAAAGATATTTTAAAGATTGCAGTCTTTATATTCTACGGAAGCTGAGAACATTTTGAAAAAGTAAATAATAAAGTTTGTAGATTTGTTCTCAGTTATATTCTAAAATATTGCAAAAATTTAGCTAGAACCTAAGATATGAATAGATTTCTACGCCAATAGCATGTAACAAGTTTTAGCGCGAAAATTTCCTAGTATATTTGCAAGACTAGCAACTATTTTGCAACTATTTACTCTTAGTTCGTATTAGAAGTTAGAAAAAGCATAATTTATTTGAAAGTAAAATAGAAAAATTGTAAATTTTGCTCAAAACACACATTAAGCTTATTTACAAGACCTATTTGCAATAGATTTTAGTCTTGTAAATTTGCTCACAGGAAGTAATATACAATTTTATATATTTTTTTTTATTATATAATTATGAAAAACATAATTTTTTTCTTGTATTACAACATTTGCAAGCTTTGCAAGGGTAGTAAATAAAGAATTTTAATTCTGAAAATTTGCAATCAGGTGAAGAAAATTACAGTTTTATACATTTTGTTATTGTGAAATTAAAAACAGCTATTTTTAGCTAGACTTACAACAATTACAAGGTTTGCAAGTGTAGTTTGCTATGATAGGTGTATACGGCTTTACTTGTACATTTACTAGAGCAGATTTCAAAAGGTTTTAGTATTAGAAATTTATTTAAGTAAAGTTAACTACTGTTTCGTATACTTTTATATTACGGAACTGTAAATAGTATAGTTTTTACTTGACTTACATTATTTGCAAGTTTTGCAAGAGAAAATTACTCTTTTTATCTTGTAAATTTGCACAAGTAAAGTAAATTAATGTTTTATATATGAAGTTATAATGGAATTGTAAACTATGCTTTAGTTTTCTATTCTTACAACATTTACAAGAGTAGTATATAAAAGATTTGTGTACATTTGCTTAAGTACGGTAAATTACTGTTGTAAAATTGCTAAAAGTTCATTTTTGTGTGAATTACAACATTTGCAAGTGTAATTTACCATGAATTTTAGTCTTGTAAATTTGTTTAAAAAAAGTCTAGTAAAATTTTGTGCAAATTTACAAGTTTGGTCATAGTAAAATTGTAAACTGCACATTGTTTTACTTTTTTTACAGCATTTGCAAGATTTGCAAGGGTATTATGTAAATGTTTATAGTATTGCTAATTTGCCAAACTAAAGTAATTTGTAGACTTATATCTTGTAGTTGTAAACATGGCATTCTTGATTTTCCACATTTGCAAGGGCTTGTAGTGAAATATTTCAGTCTTGCAAATTTGCTCAAGTATAACAAATAAAACGTTTACATATTTAGTTCTAGTGGAATTGTAAACCGAGCGTTTTTGCTTTTCTTCCAATATTTGCTACATTTGCAAGGGTAATTTTTGGTCCTGCAAATTTGCTCAATAATTTGCTTAAGTAAATTAGATTTTTTTTATAAATTTATAAACAAAGCTTTTTTGACCATCTTGCAATATTTACAAGGGCAGTTTGTAATGGATGTTAGTCTTGCAATATTGCTAAAGTAAGGTAAATAAAAGTTTTATTAAGTTAAAGTAGAACTGTAAATGACACATTTATGTGTTTTATACAACATTTGCAAGAGTAATATGAAAGATTGCAAATCTGCTTAACAGAATTAAATTACAATTCTAAATATTTTGTTGCTAAAGAGTTTAAAAACGCGTAATTTTTCTTGACTTACAATATTTGCAAGGGTAGTATGTAATGGATTTTAGTCTTGCAAATATAGTAAAGAAACAGTTTTTTATATAGTATTTAATTAACTTAACGTATAACGGTATTGTAAATGGCTCTTTTATGCGTTTTATACAACATTTGCAAATTTGCAAAGGGTATTTGGTAATGGATTTTAGTCTAGCAAATTTGCTCAAGTATACTATACAACAATTTTATATATTTTATTGTTGTGGACTTGTAATACTTGTCATACAACATTTACAAGGGTTTACAAGGGTAGTATATATAAGTAAATTCCAAAAGATAGATACTTTATTGAAACAAAAACTGTCATCTTAAGAACGTCAAAAATGTCAGATTAATATAAAAATAAATGAAAATGAAAAAATTTTCTGGTTTATCAAGGACCCTAAGGGAATAGATATAACATCAAAAGAATTACCACCTTTAACTTAAAATATATATTTTTTCCATTTCAATGCTAAAGTTTTTTTTCTGTTTAACACTTACATAAATATAATAAAATAAAAATATATAAATTTTAAAATAAATACAAACAATGGTTATATATATTATACATAAATGTAGTTGGTATATTAACCCGCTTCCGCCCAGCGTTACAAATATGCAACGGTGGAGGTGTCTATATAATTTATTTTGAAAAAAAGCATTATAATTTGTTTACTAGGACCATGAAAAATAGTTTATTTTTTGGATTAAGAAAAATCAGTTACAAGCGACAAAAAAATTTAAGGTAAATTTTGTGTTTAAAAAAAGATTTTTTTTTGGTATATAAGCAGCATTACATATGTGTTACACTGGGCGTTTAACAAACAGTTGGAACTTATATTATATTAAAATTAACTTATTTAGAAAAAACATTAAAACGATATTGCTAGAGTTTGATGTCTATTAATTGTATGAATAAAATAGCATTTAAAAATAGCTAATGTTTGAAAGCATTGTTAAAATATGATGAAGTTTGTTAAAACAGATTGTTGGATAAATTTTCCTTGTTGAAAACCTGTAGCTAGAGTCATGCTGGCTTAAACAGATATAGATCAATTATATGAGTATTCAATCACTAGAACTATGTGATTTTGTTTTCAGATTTTCCACATGCAAAATGGTGTATCTTATTGTTCTTCATAGATC